AATGCCAACAACAACAACAATCAACACATTTACAGTCAGCTGAGCAAATCCAGCAATGAACTGCGACGCGCTAGTCCGAATGAATATATCAACAGCAACAACAACAACAACAATAGCAGCAATGAGCATCTATGCGATATTTATGTCAATAGCAACATTAGCAGCAACAACAACAACAACAACAACAATAATAACTCACCAGAGCTGTACAAGCAAACGCCCACGATTTCATCAAATGGTGCCCTGGTGCCACCGCCTTATCGTGATCCTCCGCCACCTCGCAACAGTCCCATGTGCCAGATGCCACGCTTGCCACCCAGCAGCAGCGCTGCTGAGACCATATCCAATGCATCCTCTACAACAAATCCATTTCTCAGCGACTACGAGGCGCACAGCAACAACAACAACAATAATAACAATGCGAGTAATCAGTGCATGGATGAGGGCGAGAGCATGTTTCAGGCCACGCAATATAATGATCTGTTGCAGTTAATCAAGTTTCAGCGCGAGAAAATTACCGCACAGCAATTGGAGCTGCAAAAGGTTCTAGACAACATAACTAACTATAAGCATAGGTAACTAAACTCTAATTCTAATTACAGTTTGATTCGGAAATCGTTTTTCTGGAGAGCAGAGAGCGTGATCATGCGATTGAATTGGAAGTCATATCAAGAGAAATATCTAAAGCGGATCAAATATTTCGTCAAGGCAGCGAACAGTTGCAAACACTGCAATATGTTGAGGAAGAGAACGAACTGGTCAAGCAGCAGGAGAAGACACTTAAGTCAGAAATCGCATTGCTACGCTCCAAGCTGGCCAATTGTGAGACGGAACTGCTGCAGTGCAAGAACAAAATGCGTTTGCTGATGGACGACATTGAGCTGGAGCAGCAGCAGCAGAACAACAGGTAAGCATATTTTAGAGAACAATGGGAAATRCAGTAAYACATTTATATATCCTATAGACAAACTGTGGAACGTGACTTCCTTATGGAAATGGAGCGCATACAAAGTGATATTGATCAGGCACTGCACAACACAGACACATCGAACAAAACGGCTGATAATCTCAAAAAGGAATTGCTAATGATAGAGCATGCCATTGCCGACAAGAAGCGACAGGTGGAGCAGCTTGTCAACGAAATGAAGGAGGTAAATCTACAAAGCCTGACCGTAACCACCACCGAGGAGATCAAGCATCTGCTTGAAGGACCCAACAAACAGGGCAGTAGTCGTCGCATTATCGGCTCACCGCGACAGTTGGAGACGGCAGTGCCCACCAGCAAGAACCCTCACGGCGTTTGGGTTTAAGCGACAGCATAAACATTGAAATGCAACGAAATATTTTTAACACTCAAACAATTTGGGGGAACAA